GATTTCAATGCATTTTCGGCTTAAAGCAGCCGCCATTTGGCTATCGTAAATGAGATCATGAAACAAATGCACATACATATTTGTGACATGATGTACCTTGTGTGTGTGAAGTTTGAACTCGATCAATCCAAGCATGTCTCAGATACGGATCCAGAACTGAATTCTTTAAAACAAAATGGCCTCCAGTCGGCCATTTCAAACCCGATCCAAAAAAAAAATGACGTGCATCAATCAAGGTCATATTATGTTTAATGTATGTACCAAATTTGAACAAAATCTGTCCATGCATAACTGAGATCCGGGTCCAGAAAGGTGAAAATGTGTGATTTTGATGCTATTCGGCTATCGTTAATCGGATCATGAAAAAAATGCATGTGCATATGTCCCATATAATGTGTGATGTATGAGTGAAGTTTGAACTTAATCGGTCCATGCATGTTCGAGATACAGGTGATCACGGACGCACGGACACACACAGGGCAAAACATAAGTCCCCGTTTTCGGACTACGTCCGAACGGGGGCTAAAAAGATATATTCGCTAGATTTTATTTTCACTCAATCATTCCTTCAGCTAAAATAAAGTATTTTACAGTAGTTGGTACGTACTACAGAGTCCTGTTATTAAGTAATGCCCCTAATCTGTTGAGAATGGTGCTAATTAGAAGCGTATACCAAAATATAGTTAACTCAGAATTAGAATCAGAATTAGAAAAAGACTGACTCAGGCTTTTTTATCTTTCCTGGGATATAAATAATTACTGAATAATGTTAGCCATAGAATGTTAATAATATATACGACTTGGCATCTATTTCACTATTTCAGAGCAAGGTTATGAATTACACTGTCAAGCGCTTTAATTTTGTGGGACAAATTGTCAAGAGTTGCAGAAACTGATGTAACATTAATACAATATAATTGAAGGCACAACTATGCTAACATCACAATAATACAGCAGATCCAGGGATCTCGCCAGCCCAGCATGAGTGCCAGTCGGCTATGAATATTAATGAGCTATATGAATATTAATGAGTTCGGTCGCAGTGCAAATATTTTTAGAATTAAGGCATTATGTTTCACAATTTAGAAGAGTTTGAATTTAAAAATTAAATATATTCAAAATGCAAATGCTGCAGACTAAAAAACAGAAACAAATAAATTATTGTTGCAATATTAAAGTTAAATAAAACGCATTTGAAACGTTTCAGCCAGGAATATGTTCACAAACTTATTCACTCCAAATACATTCTCCTTCAAAAAATCGACCACGCAATTATTTGGAGTATTGTTGTAATTTATTATTCGCACCATCAACTTCTAAAACAGTAATGAACAAACAAATAAAACCTCCGAACTTTCAAAGTTACGACGTGACATAACTTACTTCGCGATGTTATACACTGATTATACCAAAAATTCCTCTTACTCAGTCATGATGCCAAGCAAAAAATGTTACTTTGTTTTTTTGATATGAAATAAAAGTAAAATTTGGCTTAGTTTTATCGGGAGTGGATATTTTTGATCACTCGATGCTTCGGTAAAAACACAGCCCGCCATGAGGTTTGTGACGCATTAGTTGACCGGCATGTGTCCTTTGACCCAATGGGTCAATAATTTCATTAACCAACCAGAATGCCGCATGGCAATGCCGGTAGAATCCGAAGTTTTCCGAATGGCAGTGATAATAACAATTACATTGCAGAAGTAAAGCGATGTCGTAGCACGATGTGTTGACATCGATTTCAGTTGAAAACTGCATGATGGTTATCTAAAGAGGTGATTAGCAATTTCTAAAAGGTGAAATAGGTTTTGAAAAAAGAGTTTTTACATGAATCGCGATGATAACAGATCAAATGTATTTGACTAAATCACACACTAAACACGTTGATTTTTTTCTTGAGTAGCGTAAACTGTCAGATGGTGAACTCTGCTTTGATCATGTTATATCGAGGTGAAATTGATTTTGAAAGAATTTTACCTTTCAATCTAAAGACTGTCTATCGCAGAAAGTATTTGCTTACAAACAAAGAGGTGCTAATTTCACAAAATTTACTAGCCGCTATCTATCATGCGACTAGGTCTATTGTTTACAAATTATAATCCACGACTGACAGGATGCGTGTCGGTCGGTACATAATTATAATAACAATAGTCCTGGTCGGAACCATTTCTGTGGTGGTCGCTAATTATGAGTGCCAGTCGGGGCCGACCACCGCCGACCAGTGTGGCGAGATCCCTGAGCAGATCACAATAAATTAATTAATGATAATGAAATATTGTTTAAAAATACTGTAAAACTATTTATTTTCACTGGCCTTTCAATTTCATTATTTTGAGCATATTCAGTGTGATTTAAATTCACCAATTTTCCAGAGTTATCTTGTTTAGATTGTACATAGTCAAGATTTTAATTTAGCTGAATTTTATTTATCAGCGAAAAATTAAATCTGTTGTATAAATAATGTATTTACAGTATTGTATCAAATTTATTGTTTGAAATATTGCTCTATATTTTTGTTAAAAATAAGCATGTCCTATCTACAGGGGACAATAAATCATCTAATTTGCATAACAGATAGTCCCTTTAAATGCTATCTGAGGTCATGGGATATCCATTGTATTCATAGTTATCAAGTTAGAATTTCGTAATTATGATGAATTGCAAGAATATGCACATAAATTAATTCAAGTATATTATAAGCACTTGTGTAGGCTGCTTTACAAAGCAGAAAACAGAAAAAAGCACGATTCTGCCAGCTTGAACACAACAACATTATCAATGGCCGCAGAGAGAACGACAAAGCGAATTCGTTTATAGTTTGACATAGGGGTGGTACGAACTACTGTAGCCCATTGGAACTTATTGTTCGTTATCACCGTCCACCTATTTTGTCGAAAACATTAGTAAAGCAGACAACAGAGTGTTTTTTCACTTACCTACGGAATACATTGTTATTGGCGCGAACAGGGAATTCTGGGAAATCTGGATAATCAACGCAGTACAGTCAGACTGTCCTTTCGTAACAAGTCATACATTGAATTCGCACAGGTGTTAGTTCTTTTAATCATACATTGAAATGATAAAATTGCATTTGTAATTTTTTTCAACGATCTGCACAAATATATAAAAGAGGAAAGATAACAATTTCGAACAAAGCACTACAAATTAAGTAACTGTTGCTAGAAACAAACACACAAAACAAAATGGCGGAGGATCGGCAAGTTGTCAACAACAGAGTTGAAACTCCTGAAAATACCGACGACAAAGATCTGCCGATCTCCAGTAGTCTAGAGGACTTCGTAACGGAACATTACGAAAAACAGAAGGTACAATTAATGACCCAAATAAGACGTGTTCACTCCTTAAGCTGTGCGTGCTTGATTCAATGTTACAAGTCAAGGTTACTGACTGATCTATTCGTGTGACGACTATGTTCCGGTACAGGACCTTACCCTTGCTCAAAATAATAGAAACATAGTCATTCCGCCCCATAGACGTCCATGTATTGACACGAATAGATCGCCAGGCCACTGTGTTTGAACCTCTCGACGATTATTCTCATGGACGTTTAGACCACTGTATGTTTCGACCGTCGAGGGGTCGAAACATCGAGGGGTCTAATCGTCCAGGGGTCGAAAGGGCGAGGGGTCCAAACGAACCCCTCGACGTCACACTCTGACGACAATTTTAGCCATGGGTGTAACAATAATCTTCTGGTTAATGAGGCTTCTATTAAATTATGTGGAGTGTGTCAAATGAAGAAATTTTGTTTTCCTTTGAAATAGACATGCATAATTTTATAAAATAAGTCTTCAGTATTATTGAAACGACTAAAGGTACCAGTTGAATTTGCATGCCTAGTTTGCTAGTGAGGATGTGATGTTTTGGAAAACCCGCCTGAATGTCTGTTATGTGGCTCTGTTAGTTGTCAAATCCCACTGTAAATACCACCACTAAAACATCCATGTACATAGGGCTATGCTATCCCGTATTTCTTCTCTACTAAGGTTTATGCACATAGGACTATGAAAATATGTTTTAGCCGACTCCTGCTTAAAACAAATTGTAAATAACATTTTTTTCACCGTCATGCAACAGGGGAGTAAAGTGTAAGAACGATCACAGAATTTTACATTGAATATTTACCAGTAGGTGTATTTCGTCATCTCTCATGTTATCAGCGCTTAGCAGTGAACCTATAACAAGTGGTAAACTTTAATTTTAGAAAACAGAAATTCTATTTGATCATAATCATCATTGTACATGTATCTGTTAATTAAAGGAGGATGGCAGATTCAGTGACACAGAAGAAATAGACGAAGAAAGGACAAAAAACTTCTTTGATAAAGCATTGGCTGCAAGTAGAAAGTAAATAATTATTTTAATAATATATCTGGTAACCTATTCATTGCCAGAATGTGTTCACTTTTACCAAATTTGTTTTTTGTTTCTGTGTTGATTTTTAAGAAAATAAACAGAATGAGATGTAGCTTAGATACTTTCACTGTTTTGTGTTCTATGTTAGCATTCATAAGGTCAAATAATAAAAATTGGTGTTCAAGGTATAACTATTAGATACCTATAAAATACATAAAAAAAAAAGTGAAATAAAAATTTACCAAACTGGTGTCATAACCATAATTGATTAAATAATTTGAAATTTATTTGCGAAAAAATAATGTTTTTGATTCTTCCCAAAGTCAGAAAAACAAGTGTTTATGAATTTCCATGAGTCCAATTTATAAACAGCAGTGAACATTTCACTCTGGTTCTTTATCAAATTTATTCATCTGAATCCCATATGTTATCTGAAGGTCAAAAAAGATTATTGTCAGGTTTCACAAATAAACCATATAATTGTAATATTTCCTAAGTTTGTCAACAATTTTGATCAATGTCAATGGGTAATTATGCACATTTAGTCCAAAAATTACAGATAAAATGGTTTCGCCCCTCTTACAACAGGAAATCACTAAATTCATAGACACTGGAATTGCTTGCAATTATAATGAGAATTTTTCGAAATTATAAAATAATGCTTCAGAGACTTGAAGTTCTGTTGTTCGAAAAAGAAATATAAGTATAATTTTTATAGAAGATATTATGATTGCAACATTGCAAAATCATTATATTTTATTCTTGTTTAAATTTTTAGAATGAATAAAGAAGTTGCCAAATCAGAAGACAAACTCAGAAAATTACACAATGAGCTTGGTGAGGATACTTTTGCTGCGTGGAGAAAAGAACATGCTGCAGAAGTAGGTGTCAAGGTTCCTGACAAAGTTATGGCTCACATGGACCTGTAGAGTAACTTTACATTCTCCTGGGTACAGACACAACTACCAGGGTAGTCCGAGATATTGTGTTTGTTTTGTACTATACTTAAGAAACAAATGCAAGTCAAACTGTCACATTACTGGTAGTTATCTTTGAGTTGAAATCTCACTGAGCCAGCTTGCTTCAGTATTGAGTTTGAAAGAACTGTGTTAGTATGCATAGGATAGGGAAAAACAGAAAACAAAAGAACAATCGCAGGACACATGTGACAACTCCCATAGAACTGTTCAAACTCTCAAGTGAGCAATGTTATCAATAATACTGGGGTACATGCAGGTTCAGAAGTTCTCGTATTAGCTCTATTATCAGTGTATGTATTTTAAAGATCATCATTATATAAAAGTACAGTTTTTGCTTAATATGCACCTTTACTAGGAACAAAAAAATCAAGCCCATCAGTAGTATTGCAATAAAGCTCACTGTTGGCAAACAAAATAGCAATATTGATAGTTCAAATGTAAATATTACCGGTAGTATTGGTAAGCTCATATCAAAATACTAGTAAAACAGTGAGCTACATTGGAATACTGCTGCTTTTTCATTAACAGTAATTAAGTAAATACAACTTATGTTTGGGTATGAATCTACCGGGTATGTACAGCAACTTAAAAATGAACATATCTGTATTTAACTTTGAATACCTGGAGATAAAATGGATGTATAAAGTTTTGTATTTTTTTTAAGTGAGGAGACATTTTGAGGACAACATTTTTTTTTCAAAATATGATTATTATATATTATTAATTTGTTTATGAAGTAAAAATAAATGTGTGGTTTTCATATAAAATTTAACCTGTTTTTTCTTATAAGTTCTAGACAAATTTGGCAAATAATTGCCAATAATGAGTAAAAGTTGCAAATATGTTGTGATGACTACTGGGACAATCAAAGACGTACAAACGGCTGCTTAACAAATTACTTGGTCTGTCTTAGTTTTCCTGGGTTTGAAATAAATTATGGATATTGGTAGATGACCATTACAGTTGTCAAAATGACCAATCCTCATGTATAAGTTTACATTTCAAATATACTCGTAATAGAAGTGATTCGCAGTGTTCTGTCCACGTACTGTCATCTTATTTTGTAATTGACAATATAGACGTATATTCTGGACTTTCTCTGCAAAGAAGTCTGTGAAATGGTCTAAAATTTAATTACTGTGTGCCGATACATGATGATAGAGAGGTAAGTCTTTTGTGGATGAAATTGAAGAATGTTTAGAGATGGTAGTAGTCAGAAATTATGTCTTCATCAGTTGCTTCTGATGATCTAGTGATAACCAAGCCTAGTGTATGACCACGTTGATGAGGTTCTTTGAAATGTTGAACTTACCGTGCTGACTCCAGTGTATAAGTGTACGTTTAAGGTGAAAACTGAAGTCGCCTGTAATGATTAATTTCAAGGATGATAATAACATTAGCAAGTTAAAATCAGTATCAATAGGGGTGGGGGTGGTGGTGTATTGACTAACATCACACCAAGGGCAGTATTGCATTAGCTAACCACCGGTAAATATCTAACAGATGTATTGTTTTGATACATTGAGCACCAAGTAGTAAAATTCCAGTAAGTGGAATGTTATGTCAGTAGTTTCTGCTGATGCTGGTGATCCCATGCCGACTGCATGTTTGGGTATAGTATACATTGTTAAACTTGTTTCTTTTCAAAATGATTTCCAGTACCGGTAAGTATATATTCCAAAGGTAGTTCTTTTAGAGGGATATCGTCGTGATTGTAATTTGATTGCATTGCATTGGTGGTTGCTTGAATCTTGTTTGTTTATTGCAAAGCAAAAGGCCATCGGCCCAAAGCGCAAATGTAATTTACAAGATAAAGTTGTTGTAAGTGGGGTAGGTCCAAAACCACACGGGCAACAATTCTTCTCTAATACGGTCATAACGAGGGCAAATAGCTATAAAATGATATTGGTCCTCAATATAAAATTGATTGCGTTCAACACAGTATTCATAAAATATATTATCGAGGAGGACACTTTCATGTCTTCCTTCTTCAATACGCAAAATGTGAGAAGAGCAATGCAACTCTATATTTGAAAACATGGATGCAAGACAAATATTTTGACGACTTGAAATTGCGATAGAAACGGATTTTGAGGGAAGGAGCAGTGTCGTGCCAGCCTTGTTGCGCACAATTTTTAATTCTCTGTGTGAACTGTGAAAGAGACACACTTTTTGACCTCTCACCTTGGTTCAGCCATACATGGTCGAATCCAAAGCGTTGCATATTGATATATAGTCAGTTGTATTCATGAATACCATGCCACGACCTTTGTCGAATAGTTTTATTACAATTGTGTTATCATGATGTATTTATTGCTTCTCTTTTGCCAGAAGTCATGTTTTGCTATTGGTAGTAATTTTAGATATCTCAACTTTGGTTACCTCAGATAATTTTCGAGGCTATTATGCGAGTCTCATATTGATTTCATTGTGAAAATGTGTTGTTGATATTGTTTTGTTTTTTCGCACAAAATATTTGATACGCAATCTCCATAGAATAGATATGTCACTGAGAAAAGTGTGGGCGGCGGGTTTGGTATAAATTTGAGTCCTTTGCTAAGGACAATTACTTCTACTGGTGCCAGATTTTTATCCGAAAAAGTCCGTATAAAATTAGCAGCCAACTGAGCTTGATCGGCCAACCGTTTACTTCTAGCTAGCTTTGCATTGCATTTGTTTCTTTGTTTGCGTCTTGCAATGCGTTTCTTACGTGAGAAATGTGTATTACGTTTTGTGTTATTGGGGCATGGACAGAGTCCGTAGAAATAACGGTAGTTCTCTTTTTAGATGATGTGGTGGCCTACAAAAAGAACCGTTTTGTTTGCGTGCCGAGGCACTGAGTTGATGTTTGGTTGTTAGTGCGTTTTTTCGGGGGTCCCGTACTCTTTTCCTTGATTTTTTAAAGAATTGCTTGATCTTTTCAACTGCCAAGACCTGATATTCCTCCTCGACTAAACGCTTAATATCAGCCATCGCTTCTTTCTCTTTTTTGGTCAGTATGGTCTGGACATTCTTTAAATGGACCGACAAATAAATGTTGAGTAACCTCACATGCTGTTTAGAAGCCTGGTTTGATGTGAAGTCTCACTTTTGTAGTTTTTTTTTGTTACTACTAATCCTTTAAGAATGTTTCCAGACATCGAAAATAGTCGACCATTCGATACGGCAAAGTTTAGAGACTGACTTGGTTTTACCAGTGATTGCGGAAATGGAACATCTCTGAGCTGGTGTTGGAGCGTATCACCAGGATAGTCAGATCGAGCATAAGAGCATCAAGAGCTACGTCAACTGAATATTCTCGATGATATTCGCTGATGTCCTCGAATGTCGGCATGGAAGGATTGAAGTGGACAATGGGTGCGTCTGTCTGTCTTATATATTAGGGTTGATTGACAGGCAAAATATATTTCGTTTTGGGGTTTTTTTCACTCGGAAACGCAAGGGCGATAAGACTCGATTTTCAAGAACGCGGGTCATTTGGATCGAACGGTTTATTTTGTTTCAAGTCCGTTGTGTGTCTAAAAATTTTAACATAGAACATGTTTGTTTGTTTTTTAATTTACAAGAACACAAAACAATTCACATGGACGCCATTATGGTATACATGGAAATGCAAAAACAAAATAAATTTCAGTGAATACGGAATTCCTTATATTTGATGGGTTTTTGTGAGTGTACATTGTATGTACTAAAATATATACTAGTACACCCATTGAAATAATTGTTGTGCAGTAACATTTCCATTCATAACTGACTTGGCCAGTACAGTATTGTACAGTAGACAGCAACAACTTCAACCAACATACATTCCTCAAATACTGACAAAAGATACGATATTATTGGGCGTGATCGAGAACTATTAGACAGTTCTAAGAATTTGTTTTGCAACTATTGTGTAACCTTTATTATTTATTTTTTGGATTTTTTTTTCTACTAGTTACAAATGGAAACATAGTACACATGCAAAGTAGACAAGGTTATCCAAAGTGATTTTGGATTTGTTAAAAATGAAATGCTGTGACACTATATTTAATTTCTGGTGGGAATTACGTAGGTCTATAAAATCGTGAACAAATATTTTATCACTGACCGCGAAAAACGGCCATGACAAAGTGTCTTGTTCATATTTTATCTTAAATATTGCTGGGATTGTGCTAGTTGTAAGTTCGTTTTGCAACGAAATTATGAATAAGTAGCCCGAGTGCTGAAATCCTGCAATGTGCATATTAGCATGAATCCATGATGTAAAGGTAGAATCATCGTTTTGACCGCAGATATACCAACAAGATGGGGGTTACGATCGTTGTGCGAACAAATACATGTAATGAGAATATTGGATATCTCCGATCTGTGCTAG